TTTTATCTCTTAGAAATTGTATAATATCTAGCTAGACATCTTGTTTGCAATTAAACCTAGAAAAATCTTTTCTTTTCTAGACTTTTCCTAATATGCTATAGTCCTCCTTTTCTTCCAGTAATAAACTTCTTCCAATTAATTTGATACATTTTTTAAAGTCTGTAGATAAAACTGCCACAATATCCTACTTAAGGTTTCACTAATTCTCAAATCACAGGAATAAATTACCTCCTATCTCAGATATAAGCACTTTTAGCAAACTTAACAATGACCTCACATCAACTCAATTTGAGACTTATACTAAGCTCCTAAAACTTTTTGTTTTAATCAATCTTTCAATTTTGTCAATTATTACCTGTTTGGTATAGGCCATCACACAACACTGCAGAAGAGCATCTCTGAGAGTATGCTGGGTGTTTACTACCAGGATGAAAGGTAGAAAGAAAGGCAGGCAATGCCATATTCCCATTGATCACTTGGACTATGGCAAGTCCCCCCCAGCTTGTTTTACAAATAATGCCAATTAAAAGAAAGATACATTTTAGCTTTACCTACTGTACTTAACAAAATTATCCTTGCAAAATTATGCTTATAAAATTGCTAGTAACAGGAGGAAAAACCTCAGCAGGTGGTGAAATAACCACGGTCACTAATTGAGTCAAAAGCAAAACCCAATTTGATTGAAGTCTGTGGACAAAGAAACAGACCATAACACTCATTATTTTCGGGACTGACTGGCACTCTCATTGGCACTCACTGGGGATCTGGCTCTACACTATCTCAAAGTATGTAATGTGGAGCAAAAGTAGTGAATGTTCTGGTTTTACCAAACTGATAGTTAAATATCTGCAAAACAAGTGTTACGAAGCTTTGACAGGATAGCTTCAGCATAGTTGCAAAATTTTGATTAAAATTCAGTTAGACACTTCCAATTACCCAAATGCATTTGTAACAACTGAGAGAACTGAAACACAAGCTATCATTGATTCAAGAATGGATACTTAACAATGTTGTCTTCTTCCTGAAATACTTTTCCGATAAAACCAGTATCATTAACCTCTCCCTTCAGCTAATGTAATGATACAGAAAAGTACTTTGGAGAAAATACAGCGGCAGAACTATCAAGTACAAACCTGTAATCGTGTTTTAAGGGCTTGGACAGTAAGCAAACCATTCTCTTGCAATCCTTCTGCAGCAGGAGCATCATGTTTATAATTAATTTCACTCTTAAAAAAAAAAAAAGAAACAAACCCCTGAATTAATTAAAAAGCTGAAGGTAAGGTATAAGCCATTACAAAGCATTATAAAAATCTAGGGAAAATAGAAAAAAACCAGCAGAATCACAGTGTGCATTTTACAAGAAAAATCTTAACTTCTTAATGCAATTAGTGCGATAGCACATAATGGAAATAACCAATTATAAGAAGATAATTAACAAGCACTATGGCCTTAATTAGGAGTTCCTTGCCAAAAGGTAAGCATTGTAGCATACATATGTCAAGCATTTGCAACTGCATTAGTTTTATTTCCCAAATTATGCTGGTGCTATCAAGGAAATAGAATAATCTCTTCAGATAAATTATTTTACGTTTACAGCAGGGAATGTTAGATTCAAACTTCAGAGCATTTCACAACACACATCAAATTTCACTTTGCACCAATCCTTCAGTGATTTTATGTGGTTTTGTTAATTTATTAAGCAAATACTGAGCAGCTGAGAAACAGCAAGTTGAACTTACAGCATAGTCGACCTCTCCAAGATCTGTTATTTTGAATGTACTTAACACATCTGTATTGGAGTCATCCTTAAAAAACAGTAACAGTTGCTCACTTCCAGACCCAACAAAATCATCCACCAGAACAGACTTCACTTTTTGCCATTTGGAAGCCACCTACAGTAGAAGAGGTTTTAAAATACGTAGTTTTTAATAAATCTTCAATTTGAAATTTAATTTCGGTGAAGCATGCTTTTCATAAAGAGGCGGCCTCTTCAGGTGCGTGGAATATAGTATTAAGAAGCTTCAAGCTCTCACTCTATCATTTAGAACCTATGTAACTCCGGGAAAAATTAGCTACTTTCCAGAACACAGAGAAGCTGACAACTTTTCAGTGTAGTCAAACAGCTGAATAGCTGAATGCTGTAACATTATTTAGAACCAATAATGTTTGCAGATCTGTTAAAGACATGATAACCTTTGATATTCAAAAGTACCTTTGTTGCATTAAGCACTTAAATACGTTTGAAAGGTAAAGACAAATATGTACAATAATGCTGAGGACTAAATAGGACTAAAGACGTTTCTTCAATTATGTAAGTTATCTTGATAACAGTATCACAAAACCCTAACAGTTAACGTTGTCTGCCCTGACTTTAGAAAACCTAAGAGAGGCCTCTTGCCATTTTCGTGAAACAATACTTCGTTACTAGGAAGTGAGATTCAAAACGTTTTTAAATTTCAGGAAGTTTATGCTCTGCAATAGTGCTAGTTTTCTTTCACTTTAACACAAATTATGCAATCACACTCACAAGCATCTTACAACTTCAGGTTCTAATACTGTGGAATTTTTCAATTAGAAACAGAAGCTTTGGCTCAGATTCATGAAAGGTACTATTAAATAACAGAATCCAGGGTTTGTTGTCAGATACATAAGCAACAGTGAAAGTAAAACAATCTCACACTTTAGGTAGGTTATTTTAACAGAAACAACAATAACAAAAAAATGTTTAAAACTTAAAACATGCAGCTTTTTGGTTGCAGAAATTTCTAATAACAGAATATATACAAATAAAGGCATAGTAGTAAAAGGGAGCTGCTTAAAGCCACAAATACCTGTAAGCTGTCTCTCCTCTGTACAACACAGACATTTCCGGAGGCAAAAGACACAATAAATAGCACATCATTGCTACTGGTTACAGCTGTTTTTACTGAACATGGTTTCTCATAAGGAAGCTCACAAACACCTTTAGGGACACCATCCTGGAACAAAATAAGCTGATTCCTGTGGGTTACTGCAACAAGCGATATTCGGAGCTGTTTTTTCAGTATCTCATTCTTGCAGACATAGACAGAAGATACCACTTTGCTGTATGCATGAGGCATAAAGCATGTGCCAGTTAGCATTTTTTGTGTTTTTATTGCATAGCCAAAAAATTCACTACCCCAGATGGCTCTGTCTGAAGTGGAAAACTCATCCTCATCTTCATTGTCTGGCAGGCAAGCAGTTCTTATCCCCAAGACAACTGTGCCTTTATCCTCCATTTCACCTGTCCACACAACAGAAGAAAGCTGAACAGGAGCACTTAGAACTGTGCAGGTGTCAGAAGAGATGTAGAACAGCTTATTGGCATGCCTCCACAACACTGAAGGGCCAGTATACAACCTGATGTCTTCTTTCAGCTCATAATCCAACTTAAAACAAAAGGACTGCTCAAACTGATTTGAGCTGTGAAGCAACAACAAAAGGTATTTGATAACATTGTTCCGTTTTTTCTTTTTGATCAAAATGCAGGGAAGAATAATCCCTGTTCTGGAATCCGTTGTGCAGCTACAACAAATTATTTCAATTTTTAAGTGACTGCCACGCATGCTGAATGCTCCAGAAGACTTCTGAACAAACAGCTTAGTGTCTCTGTTGAATGCCATTCTTCTGACGCACAAGTTTGCTGTTTTATCAGCAGCTCCCTCCACATGTTTTGTGTTTGACAGCTGAAACAGAAGGACTTCGCCATTGTAGGACAAGATTTGCTTTTGCTCATCCAGAAGCATCTTTATGTGTATTCCTCTATAAGAGTATCGTATGCACCTCCATTTTTGTCAGGATTATTTCTCTCTGAAAAAAATTAACTTATCCGAGTGTTATCCACCTACAAAAATGAAGAGGAAAAAAAACGTAATTTTGGGAAGAGCTGAACAGATCCTTAAGAATTAGAAAAACTACACATTGCAAAGCAATGACAGACTAATTTGAGAGCATGAGTCCAGTACGTGCTTTACCTTGAAATGAAGTTAAGCAACTTTATACTGAGAGATTTAAATGGCAGAAACTTTTTAAAATATATATATATAATAAATAAATTTATTTACCACAGCGTGAATTCACTCTCATCAACAGGTACACAGCATACCATAAGTTGAAAGAAACCATACCAACCCATGTATGCAGCTTGTGTGACTGAATTGAAGGTGTCAGCTCCACAGATACACAGAGCAGAAGAGAAACTAATCGTATTTTGAATTCTCAAATTTAAGAGCTTTCACTAAGGCACAGGCTTCATTAATAAGCACAACTCATTATTAGTTTAAATTACAAACTTTTTTTCAAGCTAAAAGTTCTCTGAAGAAGACTCCAGCCACTTTGCTGCCAAGTTGGCTCCCTTCCTTTTCCCCTCCCCTTCAATCTCTCCCCTGACAAGACCCCGGGATCCAGAGCGCCCCGCAGCCGTCTCACTAAGTTTCACCAACTTCAGGGGTGCAAAGAGCACCTCCCTAAGGGGACCCGGACAGCTAAGGCACCACAGGGGCCACCCAGGGGCCCTCACAGCCGCAGCCGGGCCGAGGCAGCAGCAGACCTCGGCCTAGCTTCCGCCCCCAAAAGCCGCTGACAGCTGTACGGCCCAACGGGGGCCACACAATCTCCTACCGGAGGAAGCCGAGCCCGAGAGGCACAGCGGCCGCAAACCCTGCACCGACAAGTCCCCTAAGGACAACCCGTTCCCACCAGCTGCGGGTCCCAGCCGCGGATGGAGAAACGGAGGGCGACAGGAATTAGAAGAACACGCGCGCGCGCCAAAACTCCCGCCGCGGGAAGCATGACGGGTGGGCTAGGGGCGGGGCCAGCGGCTCAACCCCGGGAAGGGGGTGGGGCCGGCAGAGTGAGGCTCCTGGGTGGCTGGCAACGCCGGCCCCTCCCCTTGCCCTGCCCCGGCTGGGGTCACGCAGCGCCTCGGTTGGCGTTTCTCTGTTTCCCCGGCACTTGTAGGCCTTGCTGCCGCGGTGTGGAGGTTTTGGTGGGCCATGGCGGAGGTGGGTACCTGCGCTCCGATACCCCTTAACGGCTGCCAGCCCGACGGGCCTCTCCTCCCCAGCCGTTCCCGGCCGCCGGTAGCAGGCTGGGGGGTGAAGAGGAAGAGGTGGGGGTCGGATGGTGAGGGCCATACATTGGAGGGGCCGGGGTTGTATCGGGCCGCAGCCTTTCTCTTCCTTTTACAGTCCTTCTGTCTCGTGTTTCTTTTCAGCAGCGACAGGATAAGGCCCTTCTGGTGAGCGAGACTCGGCGGCGTTTCGAGGCGGAGTACCTGCCAGGTAAGCACCTCGGCCGTGGTGGTGGAGGGCGGGCTGGGATTGGAGCTCTGTGGCTGTGGTCTCAGGGGCTCGTCCGGTGTCGCTGCTTTTCCCTTGTATGCTTCCGGTATCCGGCATTTCCCCAGTGAGTGGGTGTTTCAGCCTTTTCTTCGGGTGGCCGAAGCTGCCGGGTGGGGATGATGTATAAAGCTGAGGTTTTCTTTTGGGGCTTTGTGCTGTCTGCTGGATCGCCGTCTTGGGCAACAAGACATGCCAGGGCAAAGGTCCGGGTCCTCTTGGCTTATGTTTGCTTGGCTGTAGTATGGGGTATGGGACGCTGAAATGCTTGGGCTTTTCGAGCATAAAACATGAGGTGTTGGAGCAGGAGGGAAGTGAAGGAAAGAATTCTGACTTCGGCCAGTTTGTCAAGGAAAGAGTAAGTTTCACTTCACATTCGTGATGGCCTTAATTAAAATATGCTGCGTATCTAACTCTCAAGTGCAAATGCTTTTAAACTTGTAAATGAAGGTAGGGAGGTTGCTGGGTATGCCTGGGGGAAAGGTAATACCTGGCTAGGCCGGGGGGGCGTTCCTTCATTTCGAGGTTTATTTGCATTGTTTATGATAGAAGAGTACTAGAGTATGCTAACAAGTGCAGTAAGCAGTACACTTCATTATGACTGTCCAAAGGCTGTCTATTAACAGCATACTTTTATCCAATTCTTAATGCAAATACAGTAAGAGCCCAGTAGTTTAGGAGTTGCATGCATCTCCTTTAATATAATCCCCAGTCCTGCGAGCACGTACTTTGCTTTGATGTTCCTGATCAGAATTATTGAGGTTACCTAGCTATCCCTTTTATATATGGGTTGCGTGCATCTATGACTTATTTGTAACTGGCTATAGTATTTTTCTTGCAGACTTTGAGGGTCTTGAAGTTGGTACAACTTTGTTTCATATGGTTGATCTGCTAACTTCAGTAAAGGAAACCTCTTTAGTCTCAGTTAGAGATGACCTATATGTCTAGCAAATTGACAAAATTAATAGAATATTAATATGACAAAATTAATAGAATAATGTTTTGAAGGAGAGCGAGCTTATTTCACCATTTGATATTGCTGTGTGAATAAAGATGTCTTTGGCATTCTTAAAGCTGAGGCTCAGCAGAGTGGAGGATAATCTTAAATGATAAATTGTTTTCGCTGTTCATGTTTTCAGTTAATGTGTATATTTTCCTATGGTAGGTGATTCATCTTGTTTTGTATTCTATTATCTGAGAGCTGCACTTGTAAACAGTAGCTTCAGAAAGCCTAGAACTTCCTTAAGACAGTTGCTGCTAAAAGGGAGTAGGTATTACCTTTTAAATTGAATTGTCCCTTACAGTCTTGGAGTTGCACACGTTTCTGTAGTTGCAGTGAAGTCTCTGTTGGGCTGCTTGTTACAGCCATTAAAATAATTGAACACTGTTGCAAGGTAAGCTATAATCCTGTTTGCAGTATTTTGAATGTATTTTCTCAGTAAGCCCAGTTTTGGGTCATGATTTAGGACTCTTAGCCCTTTCAAGGAAATAGGATTAGGACTTTTCTGAGTTCACATTCTGAAGTCCCTCACTTGAATTTAAGAATGCCTCAAGCAAATTAACATTGTCGTGCACAATCCAAGTATGAAAAACACATGATTTTAATTTAATGTGGTCCTTCAGCCTTTGCTGTGTACTTTCTAACATCTGTTCTTTTATGCTTCCTCTTACTTGAAAAATGATGTGGAGATAGACACTCCCAAAAATGCAACTTTCTGTGTTGTAAAGGTACAACTGCTTAATCTCCAGCAATTTTAGTTTGCTTTAAAAACTAGAGCCACTGTTGAGGCACTCTGAGAAACTGGTACTTCTGTGAAAGTTTAGTGTGGTCATAGAACTGGGCCTCTTCAGAATGAACCTAATTCCATTTATGGGTGAGCTGCGAGTATTAAGGTTTGAGTAAAATTTTCAGGAATTTTTGATTCTGGGGGCTGCACCTGTCACAGTTTTATTTTCCTTCTGAGGAAAACAGTGTTCCTGATTATTCTAGAAACTGCATTTGTCTTATGAAGTGATTCTTCCGTATATATATATATATATATATATATATAGTTACTGATTTCCCTCCCATGAAAAAGGGTTGCTAATGATCACAAATGCTATGATGGTCTTTCAATAATGTTTATTTTGTTGTGAAGTGAAAACTTGGAGGGCCTTTGAAATCCTGATTTTTGGTTCAACTTACTTATTGGTAAAATACAATGTTTCAGATTGAAGTAGAATATACAGAAATATATCTATCCGGTTAAGGAAGGTCTAGTATTAAATCACATCTAATGCCACATCTAATACATGTTGGAATATTTAGCATAAAATTTACAACAAATAAAAATTAGTTTTGACTGTTTTCAAGGTAGGATAAGAAAAGTTTAAGGAGTTGAAAGCACCAAAAATGTTTTCTGAATTATACAGTTGTTTAATTTATGTGACTAAATCAAAGAATTGGTTTAATAGATAGAGTTTGAAAAACATGGAGTCAGAGAACCTTACTGGTTCATTTCCACAAAGTTTTCATGAGAACTTTCTTGTGTAAGTTGTTTAGCAAGTGTGGCCATTGAGGAGTTCTAGAAGGAACGCTTGGCCACGGTGAGACCTTAACTGCAAAGTAGTGTTTAATGTTAACTGAGATCTTGCGGTGGTAGTTTTTTTCCACTTCAGTTAATTTTCTAGCTGTATTTGAAAGACAAATCCAGTTCAGGTGAGGAACGTATATCCCTGGTAATGAAACTTGTTGCATTTATTTAAAAGGCATATTTCCAATACTGAAAAGTTCCTGTTAGTCCAGTAGACCAGCAAATATTATCTGATATGGTAGCTGGACAGCATTTTATCTTTGCAGTTTGGGGGCCTAATTTCTGTTTTGTCTATTTGGATTCCTTGTGAGAGTTGGTGATGTAAATGATTTGGGTGGTGACAGGAACAATGAAAACAAAAGGATTATTTTCTGGTACTGACTGGTACTGTTTTCTAGCAAACAGTCTTGTCTTTTAATGCATTTTCATTCCTTAGAGGATTTCTAAAATTAGCTTTTATTTCTGGCTTATGGCTTTACATTTTAGTGCTATGGTGGAAATTATTTAGAATCAAATCTTGGTAGATTTTTCCATTCAGGAAGTCTTTTCTATACATCCATTTTCATATTTGCCATTTTGTATTGCCTATATATTCCCGGCCTCTCGCCATTTGTATCCTTTTCCTTTCTCTTGTAGGCAAAGCTTAATTGAAAAGAAGAAGATTTTGCAAGAGAGGTTTCAAAATGCAATTTAAAAGATTAAATTTCATCATGACTTCCTTTAAGCTGATAGCAAAATGTGCTTTGTTAATCATATTGGCTGGTTGCAAATAAAGTTTTAGACATAGGGTATCCTGAGAAAGCGTAGTGATATGACTTTTGTATATGGTACACTGACATGTTTTTGATACCTCGTTATGTCTATTTATGCTCTGAAAAATCTGTTTTCCCCAGTTCCTGGCTTTCAGGATAAGAAATACTTGAAGGATAAAATAGGAAACATGGATAGAATAAACCCCGTACTTTTGTAGAAAGCTATGTGATATGCTTGAGCTCTCTAATAAAATTAGTCTTTAGTGTCAGTGAGAGTGTTCAGTCTTGCTAAAAGTTTAAATTTATCACATTTTGTGGAGGGAGTTATTTCTTTATTGCTGCTTGATTTTGTTGAAATAACTCTTTATTGAGGGAAATACGTATGTTTTCTTCATCCCTGTCTGTGTATGGCTACTGACCTCTAAATTGCTTTCTTAATTTCCTCATCTAACACTTGGAGGCACATACCTGAATGGCTATAGTACTTAGCTTAACATATTAAGCATATGCAGCCAATTAAAATGGGTTTCTCTTCTCTAGCCAAGGTCAGAGGAATAATTATGACTGTTTCAGACCCAGGACTTGCTGGTTGAAATAACTTAAGGCGGTAGTTAAATTGAGAGGCTTTGTGTAATGGAAACACTTGACATTCTTTGTTAATTTGCTTTTTCTCTAATTTTTTGTACAATTAAGTGGTTTAGGGTTTTTCTTCTCTATTCAAAGCTATGGAGTTGCTGTCCCTTCTCAGCTTTGTGTATGACCTGTTCTATAACATTTCTTTTCTAGATAAGAGTTTTTCTGAAGGGAGGAGTCATTCCTACAGGTTGTGATTTCTGAACTTCTCTGGATTAATTTAGTGTAGGATTTAGATGTGCTGTCTGCTTTTCAGTCTTGCAGTCTTTCTTCTATTCTGGTTGAATATTCTCAAATTTCTATTAGGTGTCCTAAAGCATGAGTGCCAGAAGAAAGCACAGCTGTGCAGCATTGGTCGCCTCGTAATGTAGATGTCACTTAAAACAAATGTGAAGAGACAGGATGTTACAACTTGTGTGTCAAATAATTTAATTAATTCTTCTTGTGAAGCTGTGGCAGTAAAATTTGTTTTCATTTAGTTCTGCATGATTCTGTAGTTATTTTCAGAGCTGTTGCCTTGTGTTATACAGGATACTTTATGTTGGAAGATAGTAATTAAGTTGTAGAGTTCCACTGTAAGTTTCTCAGCTTGAAGACAACTATTGAAACAGGAGAATGTGGTCATAGAAAGAACTGAACTTCTCACTTAAGCAAGAAAGAAGGCAGGCAATACGAAGAAGCTGCATTCAAACAGAACTTTGTCTTTTCCCAGTCTTCACCCTTGACCTCAAATGTTTAATGAGGAAACAAAAGTAACTTTAAGTAGCTGTTTTTAAATTAAGGTTAAATGAAACTATGAACTTTTAAACCTCTAAAATCTGACTGAGATCTGGTCAATCTTCTTGCTCACTCAAATTTTCAGTTTGAACAGAAGTTTCCAGATGCCTACAGAATGATGGGAAATGCACAGTTTTGAAGAGGAATTCCTTCTCTGAATTAACGTATTTTCAATGACTGGATTATTGGTAGGACTCCAGCAATTTCATGTCACTGCTTTATACGTGAGATAAAACCTTTCTTTTAGGAGGCAGATTTTGACTAGTTACTCTTGGCTTAGTGTGTGTTGCAGTATATATGTAAATTTAGATTATGTGTGTCATCTTTTTGAGAATTTAGTTGCTGAATAAAGGAACAATATTTAATTTTCTTTCAGCTGTTCATGTGTGTGGATGCAGCTTACTTTTCATTGATGCTGAAAGTTTGGATAAAACGCTTTCTCTGTTCAGCTTTCACTCTCATTTCCTTCAAATATTCACAAAGTTATATTTCTATTATTTTTTAATATTATCTATGTTAAGAGTTTGGGAACATTTGTTAGGGGCCCAGGTACGTGTGTTCTGAGACACATTCCACGGAATGATGTATGAATGTTTTTAAATTATTGTTTGATATGAAGTCTACTGTTATATCATTTTGACAGTTCTGCTCAAAGAGATACTGGGAGCAAAGAAAATGTCCAGAAATATTATCCTCTTAGTTTTTACCTGTTGGTGCATGGCTTTTTAATTACACAGAACCCAAAGCCCTAATAGAAATAGGGTATGCATGGAACTAATCTCAGAAAAATACTTGGCTGATAGATTAACAGCAGTCACTCTTACTTAGCTAGAGTGTGTTAGATACTATTAAACCAAGTTGGAGTAAGGTAACTCAGGCACTGGAGTTATACAATACTGATGTTAAAGTAAATCTTTATTCTTGCAAAGCCCTAGTTTCTGTGGCTATGGGTAGCAATATGTGGCTTTAATAGTCAATATACCATATTGAATAATATATAGTATAGAACAGCTAGTACACCATGGCTAAGAGAAGCAAGTGCTTCTCTTCCTTTAATTGACTGTGAATGTGCCAGTTAGTTACTTGTATATGACAAAATCTTTTAAGAGGATTTGGGTTGGAATGCATGTTACATGAGGGGAGGCTGTAGACTCCCTTTGCCCTTTTGTGTTTTCAAAACTTGACTGAAAAAGGCACTTAGCAACCTGTTTGAATTTGGCAGTTAGCCTTGCTGTGGGCAGGAGTTGGAACTGATATGGCCTGCAGAAATCCTCTCCAATTTCATTTTTTTATGATTCCAACTTGAAACTAGGTATTGTTAGTATTTCTCAGGCAGAAGTGTCCAAATAGTAAATCACTGGGGGGGGGGGGGGGATAGTAAATGAAATTTCAAAGGGGGATAATCAAATTTCAAATGAGCAATTGAGACTTTACAAAATTTAATGCCCAAAATCTTTGCAACTTGTTCTATGTGTGGTTGACTTAGAGCCACAGAAAAGTTAAACAGCATTTCAGTCTTATGCCGAGCGTGCACCTTAATGGGCTTTGTCCCATTAAACAGGGACATGATGTCCCATTAACAGGGAATGATCTGTCTGGTGCAGCAGACATTTCTCATACAGAAGTTATGAGAAGGAACTGAAATAGAGGTTTTAGTGGATTTGAGGTTTTGGGGCAGAGAGGAGAAAGTAGGACTCTAAAATTAGGGAAAGTGGGATTTTACTGTAGGCTTGGCTAAGGTACAGGGTAAGGTAGTAGAATGGGATCCAGGGAAGGAGAAATTAGAGAAGGAATCGAGTAGATAATGTATATGAGAAGCAATTGGATGGGAAGAGATGCACTGGGGAAGTGCAACTGTAGTAACTCCTAGTGGATGGATACATTTAAACTGGGTGTGTTCTTATGTTTATATTAGCTAGTTTGTGCCAGGAGACAGTATAAATAGAAAGATAAGTAAAATAGGTCATACCTTTGCAGTAAAACTAAAAATAGTAATAAAAGGCAATGGTGTCCTTTTCTTAACATCTTTCTCAGAGTTACAAAGTCTGAAATTCACATCCCTACAAGTGTTCGGTTGTGATTCTAAATAGTTAGGTTTTGAGGTCCTGAAAGTAGCTATTTTCAATTTATTACTGTTGACAGAGGAACAGTCTTTCCAGTATGTTAAAATTAACATCTCTTATTAATGACCAGTCTTAACTTTTTCAATGCTAATAGCAAAGGATTTTAAGTGAATAGTTTAAGAGCTTATGTGGTTTTTAGTAGCTAGCAAAGAGATTTGTACCAGTGTCTATTGCTTTCAGAAGTCTGTTTCTATTATGGGCTCTTACTTGATTTACATTCCAATTACGCAAATTTCTCTGGCAGAGAGGAACACTGATCTAAAAATTGAGCTTTTGTTTAAGGATATCTACAATAAAAAATAGGACCAGTTAGGCATTTGATTTTACAAACTTTTATGTTTGAAAAATAGTTAAGAAGAAGAAAATAAAGCAGCAGCAGCACTATTTCATCCGAAGTACTTCCTAAACCATGTTAACCTATTACCCTGCTGCTAACCTGATACAAAAAGAATTTGAACCTTGAGGGTTTTATACTGCTCTAGCATCGCATGTAATTTGTGTTCATAAGGTAACCATTTCTAACAAGTGTAGAATGTGTAGTCTTGTTAAAGAAAACAGTTTTGTTTAATGCAGTGTTGTATAGTGTGTGATCAAAAATAGTCGTTTTAACATCTGTTGTCTGGCTTTCTGATGCCTATAAGTTTGAGAAGTCAAGCTTGAACTAATGATGCTTAGTGTATACAATATACATTCATCAGTACACATTCTTAGACTGTATACTAATTTTATGTTAATTATAGAAACCTGGGTGTTGTTTTTTTGTTTTTTTTTTGTTTTTTTTTTTTGAAAATTTATACTTTCACACACCTTCTTGGGTTTTTTTAAGAAGAATTGCAGAAAATATTTTTCTAGTGAGAATAATCTTGTAGTGTTCCTAGATGTCACCACAGTAGACAGACATTTTTAATCAATTTCTTGTGCTGTGCTTTGCTTAAGTTTGAGACTGCACAAGGATCTGTGTACATACCACATACTTATATTAAAACTTGACAAATCTTTTAATGTTTTCATAGCAAAATGCTATCTTCTTACAATAATTGATTTATTTGTAGATAAATCAGATAAATATGATTCTAGAGATGTGGAAAGACTTCAGCAAGATGATAAATGGATTGAAAATTATCTGATTTGGCGTCATGATGTTGTGGATGATACATTAAAGATGATTGATGAAAGCTTTCAGTGGAGGAAGGAATATACAGTTAATGGTAAGCTATGCTAAATAACGATTTTGATGGTGTACGTTGCTTTTCTAATGAGCGACAACTGATTTCTGTATGTAGTTTCATAATGTGCCTTTCAAAGTTCTGTAAGCACCACAGGGTGGGTGTGTTGGAGGGTGGGAATTAGAACTATTGCTTTTTATGTTTATCAGCACTGAATGGAGTCCTTAAAAAAAAAAAAAAAAGGCAAATAACAATAAACCCCTCACAGAAACCAGGGTTCTGTTGTAGCAGCAGTGGTCTGTCACCCTAAGTAGAATAGGTCTAAGTTTTATATTGTTATGTGTAGGTGAGCTCTATATACAGGACTTCACAATCTGAATTAAAGATTAGAGCAAGAGGGGCTTCAGATATGAGCAAAAACATACATTTGCAGTATTTTTCTAGTATCTCAGGTTTTTTCATTCTTGCTTCTTCTTAAATAGATCCTACTCTACAGCATGAGAGGAAGAAGATAGTAAAGATTTCAAGAGAGTTCAGTATTTGTATTAGTTTAGTAAAGGCCTGGGAAAGTGGGTTATAAAGACATTTTTGTGTTTTGTTGATAGACGTCTGCATTTTTAGTGACATCTGTTAAGTTACAATATGATTACTAATATGGTTACTGAGATAATATTTCTTTTGGTTTTGCAGACTTGACAGAATCTGTCATTCCAAAATGGTTACTTGAAAATGGTTCTCTCTTTCTGCATGGATATGATAAAGAGGGCTATAAATTATGTAAGTTACACAAAATATAGTATTTTCAGTCAGTGATCATAATTTTTTGTTTCCAGCAGATTACCATCTATTCTGAAAAACAAATGTTTTAAAACCAGAAGAAGGTACAAATTGGCAACTGGTTTTTACTGGAAATGAGAATTTTTTTGTAAAAATGAGAATGGTAATTTTTAGTATGTCTTTGGATCACAGAAGTGGAATGAGGGAACTTCATTAGGAGTTTTCAGAAATTATAAAACTCTGTCCTAATTATAATGCAACCTTTACCTTTCCTTTACATTGTTTCTGTACCTACTGTGGTGAGTATGTGACTAGTATAAGTGTTCATTACAGTACATTGTCATTGCTTTTCTAGCAGCCCACGTTTTTGCAGTGGCTTTGTTTTTTTTTTTCTTTTCTTTTTTTTTTCCATTTTTTTCTGGTGTCCTTGGAATGTTCAGTAACAGCATGGACAGCTCAGGATTGTTGAAGTCTCAAGTTATATGATTAATTTCTAGTAATTAAAGAATTAGATTTACAGGGAACCAGTAAATATTGCCTGAAATGCTCCCAAATTTTTATTTAATAATATATAATAGATGGTCAATATTATGACAGTAGATTAATTCATAGAAAATATGTTACATATTTACTTTTAATTAAGCTTAAATCCTGTGAGGCAAAAGAGGCGTTTTAAGCAAATGTCTCATGAGGCTTTCCAAGCAGTGATCTTGAACCTTGAAAAAGACCAAAAATTTAAACCTGAAATTCTGCTTTTCCTTGGCTTCCATGGGCTAGTGTGTACGTCCAGAAATACACTAACAGTCCAGTTTTCTACAGGAATGACTGTGTTTTAAACACCAATACAATTTTCTATTAAAAAAAAAAATCGGGAAAATGCAGCTTTTATTCTATAACTGTGTTTTGTCAAACTGCCCCTTTTCTTATCATTATAAGTTATCAGTGCTGTATGAAAAATTGGTGCTCTGTTAATGCTTCATGGTTTTCTTTTTGTCTTCCAAGGTGTTCAAGGATAAGTGGTAGTGATACCTTTTTTTTATAGCGCTTAGAAATCTGCATGTGATTATACTGGGTCATTCCAATTGGTGAGATAGGGAGGGAAGAGAAGTAGGAAAAACGTTAGTTCCTTGCATCAGTGCTTGGACTGAGAAAATTATGCCATCATTTCATGACAAGAATGTGAAAGCTGGCTATATAATTTCTGATTTTATTTTCACAGCAACATAACTAATTTCTCAATTTTCCATACCTGAAATGTTTGTTCTGTGAATGTTACTTGAGTCAGAATATCTGACTTGATGTGCAAATTCAGATTGTGTCGTAGTGAAGAGCTCCTTGTTTGTTAACGTTTGAGTCTGCATTCTCCATTGTCATTCTGCTATGTAAAACAGACATTTCAAAGTATAAATAAGTTTTTCAAGAACTGTTGGTTACTTTCGCAAGAGCCCTGTGTTTAAAATTGTTTTGAAATTCTGAACTTACAGTATCTACTTAATATGCTGTGTGATTTCACAACCACAACAATACTTAGAATACATGCAGAACATAATATTAGGACTACGTGATTTAATTTGAAATAATGAAATTATAATCCAGAAAAAAGTATCCTTTATAGACATGAAAGGTATTTTTCTATTCTACTGTTTGTGCTGTAATTGTTTGTATTTTCAATTTTTAAAGATTTGTGTTATTAAAGTGTGAGCAAGGAAAACGTGGGGAAAATGCAGTTGCTTCTCTGGCTGTTCAGTGGCCATAAAGTCAGTAGAAGTGTGGACTGCAAACTCAGAGGAGTTAATAAATTTCAGTGCATCTTGTATAGTTATTTGCATAGTGTTTTCTGTTAATACGGATCTATTCTGTTATTGGTTTTTTTGTTTTGTTTTGTTTTGTTTTTTTCCAATTTTTATGTGTTTTTCTTCTCACAAGTTTGGTTCAGAGTGAAGCATCATATAAAAGATCCTAAACAGCAGCTTGAGAAAAAGAAACTGGTAGCTTTTTGGTTAGAACATTATGCCAAGAGAGATCATGGAAAGCCCTTAACAGTGGTATTTGATATGTCCGAAACTGGTATCAGTCACATAGTAAGTATTTTTATTGTACTTTTCTGATTGCTTTCTGAATTATGTAACCTGTGTCTCTAGAAAAATACAAGTCCCTGTGCAGTCCTTGACATCTAAATATCATAACAGTTGCTTACATCAGTGGTATGTTAAAATTTCCCCCAAACTCCTCCCCATGGAATGTGCTTACTTTGGAAAACCAGTAGTTGAGTATCTTTTCATTTTCACTAAAACTTTCACAGACCATTTAATTATCTGGTTTTATGTGACATCTGAAATTTTGTAGCATTTGAGGACACTCAGTATTTGCTTTTGCTTGCACCCTATGTGAACATGTTGTAAGTTGGGGGAACAGTGCGGGAGGTGACATTTGCGTAATTTTAATTAGATAGGTGAAAATCGATAGATTTCTGTCATTTTCTTCAACTGAGTTCACTAGAGAAGTACATTTTTAGCACTCACTTTTAAGAAGAAGAATCTAAGCTGGTTTAGACTGCAAGATGAAGATCTTTCGTATCATGACATATTTATACATTTAATCTAACAACTAAAAACCTCCCAGATTGTCCAGAGATTTAAAAAAAGGTAGTCTTACTTCCACAGAATCTTGAAAAATTTCTTGTCATGCTATCCTGCCATTTTTACAGCAATGGCTAAAACTTCTTTGTTGTTCCTTCTTTGTAGCGTAGTGGGAATGCATTTAAATATAAGGAAAAAACCTTCCTTTCTACCTTTTTCAGACAAGATTAATGTTGCATTACGACCTTGCAGCTATGCAATACAGGGCCACAAGCTTTTGAGAAGGTATTTTAACAAATAAATACGGTTTAATTCAGTTTTGCAAGGCAGGATTGGTGCTCTTATCTGTACTACCCAGAATCCTAAAGATGATACAGGAGCTATGTTTTTATATAACAAGAATAGAGGATTTTAATAGTTTCCTTGATGTGAAAAAGCAGCTTGATTTGGGTTTTATGGGGCTTATCTTGAAGCAACTTTTTCTAATGTCTTTGTGACTCCCAGAGATAACACTGAGACAGCAAGTGCTGTCCATAAGTGTCCCATTGTACAGTGTTGCTGTGTAGTTAGAACATGTCTTACAGAACAGAAATATATTTTTAATGGCTGTTTGTACCCATGTACAGAGTTGAAAAACTTTATCCTAAAAGAACTTGGATTTGTTCCATAGATCTCTATAGACATCTATGTCATCTTTTATCACTGGTCTGCAGCCAGGTAATTCTAATAGCTCATGACTTGTTGCACAGTTCAAGTAACTAAAATAGATGCAGTTATTGAATGGTCTGCTGAAATCTGTACTTCTAATTCCAGACCTTGATCACAGTAATGGAACCAGCCTCCTAAAATCTGATAGTGCTGCTTTTGGGTAGGCAGTGGAATAAAGAGCAGCATTCTTTTTAATGCACAGGAGATTGTAATCAATTCTTGGGAATCTATTACTGTGTTTATGCTGTTAAATGAAAGATACTGTATTTAGTAAAAGCAGCAGCCAGTTGAGATAAATACTTGTATTAAGGCTACCTTCTATCTCTAAAGATAAGCTTTCAGCTAGTTTTCAGTTACTGAAGCTACTAATGCAGCTTTCAGGTTGTGGGTAATCCTTTTATACAGGGTGTTGTGTTTGGTTGGGTTTTTTTTTTCCCCTCTCTGTCTGCAGATGTTGTAATAGCCTGTTTATATCACTTTAGGAGCCTGTTTGCCATAGCATTTTTTTATTGTTATGACAGGCTTTGGATCCTCTGTCAGCAATATATTTTGTACTGTTTCTTAAAGTTACAGTAGTGGTCACTCCTGTTAGAAGCACTGGCTATGAGTACTCATGGCAGGCTTCCCACCTAACCAAAGTACCTTATTGTGGTAAAGCATCTCTTTATATCTGTTTCACAAAATTCCTTTTTTTGCCCTTTATCGTGTAGTCAGTTCTATTATACCTGGATTTTGCAATGGAGACTTGGCTATACTCTTTCAGTGCTGCTGCTCATTGGTTGGAAGCACCCTGAAAATGGGTGGTATACAAGCAGCTCTTTTGAGAGCTGCCTCTGGCCACAGTTTTTCTGCATACCACAAACTAATGCAGTAGTATATTGAACAATATGTAAGATAAGTTATTGAAGGGAAATGTTTAATGCTCTCCCTTGTAAGGCTTTGAGATAATCTGTTAGGCTTCTCTAGTGCTAATGGTTTATTTTTCCTTTATCTTTCCTGTACAGCTTAAATCCCACTGATACTATTGCAGTACTTTAGATACCTAATTTAATCCACTGAGAATAAGTCTGTTAACTTCGGTCTTAGATGATAAAGCTAAGTTTGACCACAATCCTGCAGCGTTTTAATGAAGTGAAAAGCATTGCATTGAGTTAGGATGATGTTTGTAGTATGTATACAATTTGAATATAGATTATGAGATAAGTATTTTATGCTATTCAGTAAATGCCTTAGCTTAACTAAGCCTGCATTTTTCATGTTCTGATTTACATTGCATTCACTGTCTGCATTTATTTTAGGACTTGGATTTTGTTCGGTTTATTGTCAACTGTTTTACAGATTATTACCCAAACTTTCTCAGTAAGTAACGTGTATTAGCTCTTAAGCACTGGAGACTTGTGTAATAATAGCATTTCATAATATCACAGATGATGGTGGGAAAACTAAGTCGGGGGGGTGTCATCTTTTTGCATGTGCTTTATGTGGTAACTACATAAAATACATGGAAGTTACAGATTCAGAGTATTTTTGTGCTCATGAGTCAGCACAACTTTGTATTGTAAATAAACTTATAATCATGAAAAATCGACTGGCTTTTCATGAAATAATAGTCTAAAACATGTTTTTATGGATTAAAAAATCTAATGGAACTCATTTGGCCTGTTTTTTCATTTGCTACTTATTACTTGGTTAGAAGCTTTACAAACTTGCATAACAGTTTGTGTCCTTTGTATCCTAGTCTTCAGGGGACAAAGAATGAATAGCTATAGAAAATTTTAGGAGCAATTATTTACTCTTCACAGGAAATTGGGCAAGTTTGTGTGTGTTCTTGGAAAAACTTGCATGCTTGCCTGCTATTTCTTTTCCTTTTTTTTTTTATTTTTTTTAGTGGATAGGCAAACACCAAATAGCTTTTGCTAGCTCTTCTGAAATGAGTCATAAATTTTAGGTGAAAATGTGTCTGTAAATTTTGAAAACCTGTATACCAGCTGCTTGAAGTCTGAATGTTACATTTCACCTTGCTGATCAAAGTTCAAAACTTTTATCAGATACCAAATTTAAAGGCAAGTGCAACATCATGGTTTTTTGACATTCAGGAGAAATTTTGGGACACTTAAGAGTCAAAGGATTTTTCAGACTTACGCTAAAACAAAGACAGCTTAGAAAAAATGTAGATTTACAAAGACACTTGCTATTTGTTTAGGAAGAAGGGGTGCTGAATATATGAGTCAAACTTCCTTTTCCATTCAGTAGTTGCTTTTCAAGGGCAGGCTGAGTCCTACTCCTCTCTACCTTATTTGAGAAGATTAAGTAACAGTATGTCAGAGAAGTAGTATCCTGGGGAAGTGTATAAGCTGTTTATAATTTAGAATTTTATTCCTTCCATTTCTTTGGAAGGAGTTTTTTTTATATAATAATAGAAATAGATTTATACAGTTATACAAATTTGCTTCTACTGGGAGGTAAACATGGAAGTTTCTGAAAATGAGTATTCACTTTTTCCATGACCATTATTGCTATGCTTTCTCTTAAATGGAAAAATATATAACACTTGGCATTCAAGTCTGTTTCCTCTTTTTGTCCTTTCAGCAAAGATAGTTATCTTTGAAATGCCATGGATAATGAATGGTGAGTTGTTTGATTTTGTGGTTTTGGGGGTTTATTTTTTAGATGCTGATGATTTTTTTTATTTTTTTTATTCTTTTTATGCTACTGCATAGTTAGGAAGCACTTTTCTGCTCTGTGTAGATACCACCAAATGATGAGAATTGTTAAACACTACCTTTAAATTTTTCACTTAGTGGGTTGCATACTTCTTTTTCCTTCTAGCATCGTATTTTGCATCATACTTCAAATGGAGTCTGTATTCAACCTGTTATCTTTAAAGCTAGGGAAATCTTGATATTTAGTCTATTCTTTGAAGGTTTCAAACTGTTTCTTTTCAAAGCTAGGTCTGTTCATAATCTAGGAATACTGTCATCAACAAAAGATGGATGCTTGTAACCAGCCAAAAAGTAGAATACACAATCTAAGATAGATGCCTGAAGCAGGGTACAGATACTGGTACATACGTTTTTATGTGTATACTTCAATAACTATCTTTAATTATAATGTATATGAGAAACATGTTATTCCTGTGTTTTTACTATATGAATACATATTTAAGTGCTGTATATTCACGTTTTACCATCACTGAAATAACTGTGGTGTTTGAAAATCCTCTGTAGACATAAACAGTTGTCCTTTAAAGCAGCAAAACATCTCCACAAAGAAGAGTGCATGCATATTGTTCTCAACCTCTTGTCCCTCAGATTTGGAAATATAATTGGTTTTGCTCCCTCAGTACTTTTTGGGCTAAATTCCAAGACAAGTTACTAACTCAGATATTCTTTCTGTGAGGGCCTGTGATCTAACTGCATTCATCTATGGAAAAATATGTCAGTAAAATATTTTCTCTGTAAATAATACTCTTTTCCTTGCACTGTGTTTCCCTATTGTAACAGTTTCACAGCAGGTTCTGCCGTATCTTATGGGCTGTAGCTCACTTGTGTTCAGTAAGGTCTAGTAGTGCACTGGGAAAAGAAAAAACAAAACCAAAACCTTCTGGACAACTTATGTGTTCCTTTTTGTTTGTTTTAAAGCTGCTTTTAAAATTGTGAAGGGTTGGCTTGGCCCAGATGCAATAAGCATGTTAAAGTTCACAAACAAGAGTGATGTACAGGAATACATTAGCGGAGAGTATCTGCCACCTCACATGGGTGGAACTGTAAGTATATTAACATTTCATGGTCCTTTTGTGATAGACTGAGACACCTATATAAATTACATATGTGGGGTTGAGAGCTGGCACTTCATGGATGTGAAGTTTCTTGAAGTTGTTCTGCCAATGATAATTTGTAAATCATATTAATATAAAGTAGATTAATGACAATTTTGTATCTGGAAGTGTTAAGTACAGAAATAACTTCTGAATCACTTACCCACTTCTAAGTCACTGGAAACCATGTAGCTTTTTAGACCTTTAAAAAAAAAATATCCATTTTAACTGTCATTCTTCCTCCTATTTTTTTCTTTTTCCTCCCACCTGATGAATTTGAGATTGTGTTGCTTAATAAAATACTTTCTGTGGACAGAAAATAGACTTTGTGGCCCTCAGTTTTGATCCTGCTCCAAAGGTGCTATTCATTAAAGATAATTATATTGGTATTATTTTCTCTTTGCTGTCTCTAGGGCTGCATTTTAAGACATGGCTGTAGAAGATTCTTTTTAAAAGGGTATAATATTGCTGCAAAGACTATGCCACAATCCAGTATCCCACTAAGCGAACCTGAATCCCATTCCAGTGCAATCTAAATAGCAAAACAGCACAAGCATCTTGTACATGAGGTTTAACTTTTCACAGAGCTGGTAAAATCACTTCACATAACCTTCATAATTTAATAGAATTATAGGGAGCATCAGAATAGAATAGCAATAATAGGAGAGGCCACATTCATTTTTATATAAACCCAGGGTAGCCAGAATATGAAACTTTTCGGGGGAACATAAAGGACTAAGTTATCATAAGTACCCGAGTTACTACTGAAAATAGCAGCCTTTAAAAAGTGCTTTTGCATGAGACTCTTGAAGAAAAGATACCCTCTTTCTCCATGGAAAATTGCTGCCCAGACTCCCCAGCCTCACATAAGAACTTTCTTACGTTAAAGAAAGCTGAAATGGCTGAACTTCAGGAGGAAGGGCTGATGATGTCCGATGTGGCTTCAGTAAGGATTTGAATGGGGTATAGTAGTGATTCTGGGACTAGCTCCCACAGTATTGCACTCCTGTTGCAACAGAGGGGAAGTTTCTTTTCTTCCTTCTTAGAGCTGAGTATTTCCTGTCTGCTTTTTAAGACAAGCTTGCCTCATAGGTAATTACATCTTTAAAGAAAGAACTTGTGGCATTGCTAAATATCGTCCTGAAGTGTTTGGCTGAGTATAGTCTTTAGAGTTATTCTTTATCCTGCTTTGGTCTCATTTCCAGTTAGTGATTGTTGACCACGTTGGCTCCATGTTACCTGTCAGTTCTAAGAGCGTTAATAACTTTCCCATCTAAGGTTTTTCCATTTTTCCTAACATCGTTAGTCTTTGTTTTGAGAAAAACATGCTTGTGGAGACCTCTCTTGAAACACTTATTTTTTAACTCCTTGCTGGTTAGCATAGCTTGGGAACTTTTTTTTTTCCTTGTGGTTATTACAAAATTACAGTACAAAGAAAGTTTTTATCACTCTTGGAACCTTCTTTAGAAATAGCTGTCATATTTAAACCATGTTTCCTACAGCTAAAAAGAAACTTGAGTATTATGACTGAATGCTGATCCTTGATAAGACCAGATTCTGCAGTTGTGCTGTGACTATAAATAACAGTAGTTAAAATTTAGTGGCTTCATTGGGTGACTATTTATTTGTCTGTTAATGATGAAAAAATAAAAAGTAATGGTAGTGTCACCTTTCTACACAAGCGTCCAACTTGGAATGGATAAATGTAACATACGAGTCATGTGAGGAAAAAAATAATTTATAGTATTTTCATTTAAAAAATACTAGAGAAGGTACTTCTCATCCTCCCAAATAACTGGTCCTTTAAAAATCTCCTTATGTTTTAGGATTCTTTCAAGTACAGTTATCCTCCATTGGTTGATGATGATTTTCAAACTCCTTTATGTGAAAATGGGCCTATTACTAGTGAAGATGAACATGAAAGTAAAGAAGAGATAGATGCGGACACCAAGGAGACTGGGGAGCTGAATGAAACACAAAACCTTAATCAGAAAAAGGTATCTAACTCTGAAGGCTGAGGCAAGCCTAGTTAAATAGTTAGGTTACAAAGGGGGACAGGAGTCATAAATTTTGTTCCTTGTCTGGCCTTCGTGTGTTGAATGTTTTTCTTCTTTTTTTCTGCTCTTCAGCTTGATGAAAGAACCCATTAAAACTGAAGATTATTCTTTGCAGTTTCAACCTTGCTTGTTTTCTTTTAAGATCAGTTTCATGCTTCTGACTGAGCAAAATGTATACCAAGTATTTAGTATACAGTGAATTGTTCGGTAAAATGTAAAAGTTTTCTGTGATTTGTTTTCGAAGTTTGTCTAATAGATTTATTTTTAATTTTGGGTTATCTAGTGGTAAATCTTAAAATACATCTAGCTTTCTTAGAAGTTGAAGTCAGTATGTACGTGAGAAAATATTAACAGTTTAAATATTTATACTCTACTGGTTATTAATCTGATCTCTTAAATTATTGATAAAACCTCAGCATATAAAAGTTTTCACTTAGTCCCAGGGGAAATTGTGTCCCCAATCCATCAGTTCTGTTTTACAGCATAATCTTCCTGCAGTGGTGTTTGTCCAGAAATATAAAGGCATTATTTTACACAAGTCCATATGAAGTGTTATTTAGGACTATGTAATGATAGTCACTGAGGATATCACTCTTGAAAATAGTAGGAAAAATCTGAAATACACTACTTTTAAGCCATAATTAATTTTGGAATATGCACTGCAAAACTTCTGTTTAATGGAGTAGAATACTTTGAAACGCAGAGCTCACTTTTAGTCCAGTTGTTCTTTGCAACTTGGCCAGCAATCCAAAATAAGATAATTTCACTGACCTTAGGATAAAAAGGAAGCATGGCATAACCATGGCAACTTCCTGACCATTAGACTCAGTAGCTTGTTTTCATTGTAGCACATCTTCCAAGCTCTGATTCTCAGATACAGAAGTGTGGAAAATCCCTTTTCAGTGTGTAAGTTGGCTTTGGTGCTTATTAACCTCAGTATGTATTTTAATTTGCTTGGCTGACTTCAGCTTTCTGTGTAATTATTTTTAAGAGTCAAAATTTAAAAAACCCATCTGATTTAGTTCATGGTATTTTCTTTTTTTATACAGTGTAATCAAACTGCTAATCATCTTTTCAGTGAACTAAGATTGACATTTATGCTTATATCATGTAGTTATCATAAGGCATACTTAAGGCCCTATGTTATTTGTTGGTTGATTTCTTTTTTTACTATTTTAAAATTGTTTTTCAGAAGGTACTCCCTTGTCTCTGAATGGTTGGCACTTCTTATTTCTAAGTTAATTATTTTTTACTTCACTGTGTCTGATTATAAATATTCAAATACTGTCTAATAAGGCCAGCTTCCAAACTAGCAGATTTAAAGTGATCTGTGATATATCGTCTTCATTATTTACTGCACTACCAGTCTTTATATGGAGATTCTTGTCATCGCTAAGAATTAATCTATTTTAGATATATTTATAGATATATATCTATATAAATAGATATGTGTATGTGCGCATGCACATACATATGTGTGCTTCCCCGTATCCCACAGAAGGGCCTATTTCTTTCCACAGAGTAGAGGGAACCATGAGTGATAAACTTCGTTAATAAGTGCCTGACCTGTAATGCCTCCAACTTTAATGTGTTGGCAGCTATAGGAATATTTTTTCTGGTAATTTTGATATAGAATGAAACCCAACACATAACTAGTGCAGTGTATTTACAAACTAACTTTTTACTATCATTAGATATATATAAAAAGGAAATAAAATTGCTGGGTGGTTTCTTTTTATAAAATCTATTTTCTGTAAAATTTTGTGTTCCTTTCATTCCCATACTTCTAATTTACATAAATGGAATTCTCTTCATGTCTCCTCTTTGTATTTTAAGCGCAATAAAACCAAAGCTAAGCAAACTGTTCAGCTAGCTCATTTGAGTTATGATGTCACTATTTTTTTCAGTCTCCTGTATTTCTTCCTTCCTGGCCCTGTTTGCACGTGATACCAGACTTCTTTAATTTTTTTTTAAATAATAAGATGTCCAGGCCTGCTGACATCTATTTTCTTAGTGTAATGGAGGAAAAATCTCAGAATGCAAATATCTGCAATTTTGGACTCACCAGTTCAATCAGGATTATTTCTTACAAGTTCTTCAATACTTCAGAATTCCATCTAAAAGCTATGAAGATATGTTTAGGAATTTTGCAGTGCAATAAAGTCTGTAATTGTTATTGTGGTTTCTGTTCAGTGTTGCAGTGATTGTACAGGCATGTTTGCTTTAATTGAAACGTTTCGCAGTGGGATAACATCAGTGCTTTGTAATCTTAAATATTTGAGGTACTAGTAATTTAACGTGTGTGTAGTTCTCAAAAATAACCAACATGAACATCAGTAAAATACATGGAAAAACAAAATTGTAGTTTTGTTTCACACGTGTTTAATACATTATGTAACTTATATAGCAAATCATTTTATTCAGCAGACTTCAAGCAGCTTCAGGGAATGAATACATATTAAGCTTGGCCTGCAGTATATAAATTGTTGAGATAAACCTCCTTATGTTCTCTGAAATACCTGCATGATATTGTAACCTGTATAACCGAAGTTTCTAGTTAATCATTATAACTGTCATTTTTACTCAGATGAATTCTGTAGAACAAATTTCCAAATCAGAGGAAACTGACAAAACAGAGATCAAACCAAAAAATGTAAAGAAAGCATTAACTACTTTTAAAGGATCTTTATTGCATATCAGGTAATAATAATTTTCCTTTTTTTTTTTTTTAATGTACCTTGGACACTTAGAGTACTGAACTAGTTGTTTTTTAAAAATAAGCTTTTTTTTCAGGCTATTAGAGGAAGACAAGTTGCAAACATCCCTCAAAGAGTTAAGAATTATTTTAATTATTTTTACAAAGCTCAAAGAATTTTTGGGGGTTTACATGCTTTTAGTGAGTCTTTTGGTGTTGTCGTTGGCATGCTTAGTAGGTGTACATTTCATACAATCGTAGAAACATTTCATGGTTTCATTTATATTGAGAAATTGTTGTTGGATTTAGTTAAACTTGTGCTTAGCCGTAATGAGAGCAGTGGTTTGACATTGATTGCATTGGCTTAACAAAAAACGCTGTGTTTTCTAAGACAGCTTTCACTGTTAAATCTCTGTTGAATTCTTTTATTGTATATGCTAGTAGTTTACACCAATTGAACTTAATGAAAGGGTCCAATTTATCTTGCCTGGAAAGTGCTCTGTATAAATGACATATCTGTTCAGAAGATTTTATCATCCAAGGTGCTTACATCTTGAAGTTTATCTGCCTTTTATCATTAAACTGGGGGTGAGGGGGCAATTAAACGATTTCACTTTTTCTTTTCACTGCCTTTCAGAGTAAAATGCTTTTTTAGAGATTGATTTAGGTGTTAATTTTCATTTTCACTTCCAGTTTTCTATTAGGTGAATGAAGAAAATATCTAATTTATAGGTAATTCCTTAGCTAATTTTGCAAGTGCTGTACTGACTTAGTTTGGGAATGAATTTTAATAATGACATGCTCATTAGCATAAAAAAATTACAAATTTTCCTGATTTTTGAAACTAAAACTCTATACCCCTTTGTGCAGAAAACCTCCTCTGTATAGACTTAGTTTCTCCTATGGCAGGACAAAGACATAGACTGCATAATTGTGGTTTTTAAAAGAATGCTTAAAGCCAAAAGCATTCTTGATCTTCCATCCACTTCTGAAAAAACCCAAACAAGCATAAAACAAACAACCCCAAACACCCAAAACCCCAACATTAACTGTACCTTCTTTTCTCTCAGTATATTTCAAGTTCTACCATTGAAATGGAAGTGTTGGAGTTCATGTAAATTACATGAAAGAGTAAACTTGGTGAAGTTTAGAGGTGCTAGTATTTATAGTCTTGCTATCATGGAAAATAAAATACTGGTGTGTCCATTTTCCTTGCTGTTTGGTGTGTTGATTTTTTTTTTTTCTTAAGTAAGCTCTTGAAATTATGTGCAGTTGTTGCTCTTTATTAATACTCTAACTCTCTAGAAGCTAGAACTGGTTTTTATTTCCCTTCAGTTTTTCAGTTCACTGAACCAAAATTTATTGACCAGATGATTTGTAACTAGTCACATGCACCTCTCTTGGAGACTGTAAGCCCTGCCAGTATAATTAGCTTGTATCCTTGCTGATAGCAGCATTGTCCTGTGAGGGGAGCAGCCTAGAGCATGACTAGGAAGCTGAGACACAGCAGCTCTGGCACCATGAAATCAACAGCAAGCCTTTCTGTGACTCTAGCTGAAGACGCAGTGAGGCCTCCTTAGAACCCCTTGGAGGAATATTCATGATCTATCACTGTGTGGTACTTGTGGTCTTCTTTTTCTTGTAGCCATACTAATCAGCTGGCTATGTAACTTAGACCACAACTGTATTTGCCTTGCATACTGTACTATAAAAGGCTGGTCTTTATTGGCTTTCCTCCTCAATAAATGAATTTATTTGGTAAGGTAAAAAAAGCAGCAGTCTACTTGCACTGTCTGGCAAAAGAGTAGCTCATGTTGTGGGTATATTTTGAGGCAAGAATTTCTAGTACAAACTGGAATGGTTACTCCACACGCATCAAAGTGAAAAGGTAGGTAGGGTTTCTAGACAAATTAAAAAACTTCAGTGTTCATTTAAATTTAAACATCCCACCCACCTCCAATGCTATGAAACTGGTTGACAGCATAAACATCAGGCATACAGCAGTGGCCCCAAGCCTCACTCGTTTGGTTGGTTTGTCAGTAGCCGCAGGTAGTGGTGGAACAAGAAAGATCAGGCTCTGGAAGAACGTTCCTTTCCCTGAGCTCTTTTTCTAGCTTGTTTTGATGTTAGCTATGCTTTCCTGCCTCATTTTTTGTTCATCTTGCAATTGCTGCAACACGCAACTGCAGTGGCACAGTATTAAGGTATCTGTAACAAGAGTTCTTCATTTCCTTACTGATGTTGGTCACTTAAGTTGAGGATTTAGGAATGAAGAAAAAAAAAAAACCCGAACAAAAAAAGCCACATCAAACCTGAGAGAAGGGGGTACAGTTATTCTGTTAATCTCTTTTAAACCCATCAGTTTCTGCTTTTTGATTCTGCACACTTTCTTCCCCACCAAGAAGAAAAGAAATATCTTGTGGACTGTCTAATGCATTGTAAAACACAGACGCCCCCAACCCCACTTAAACTCCCCATACAGTCACTGCCAGACTCTGCTTCTAGCATAGGCTTTCAGGCTTGCCCTATATCACCATTTTTTCTTCTCAGGTAATACACTACTTTAAGTGAGATAAAAGAAGAATTGGTTCTGTAAAATGAGGCCTTTTGAGGAGGAGGTCAAACTAATGTGAAATTAGCTTTCTAGAAAGGGGAGAAGGGGGAAAAAAACACTTTTTTGACAAAGCTTTCTGTCAAAAGAATATGCAGTTCTCATACTGTGTAGTATGGGAGTTCTTTGTGTAGTCTAGTGTGACATGGAAAGGAACAGTTTTTCACTTGAGTTTCCTCTGAACTTGTAGTATATGAGCATGCCCTACTTTCTGCCTAATAGTATTCATTTGAATGCTTATACCAAAATGAGTTGTATTAGTTTGATGTGGTTTAAAAGATTTCATGCATGAGTCTCCTAATTGCACAAGAATATTAAAAGCAAGCAATAACTTTTATTTATGCATGTGTCACCAGAAGTATGTGGAGATTGACTCGTAAGTACAAGTGGATTTAGCATTAGTGGTTGAAATGATTGCCACTCGCATCTATCTGCCTGCTCCTCTGATGTGTGCACTATATCCCTTACAAGGATAGATGTATGAGATGGTAATTACTCTCTGGCTGTGACACCTTGTACTCTTTAATGTTAGCATGAATTAAAATTAATGATGCTTTCCCTTAACGTGCCACTCTAAGATGCAGTGGCTGAATTTATCGTTTATATCTGTTAGCTATTTCTTGGTGTTGCCGGTCACAGCTCATCCAGATGGAAGAAATCAAGGGCAGCAATCAGATGAGGCAGCTAGATCTGCTAGTGCTCATGAGTCAACCCTGAGCTTCACTACAGAATTTCTGCATTTTATTTTCACAGCTTTCTTGATGAAAAACTGTTTATAGTGACTGTAGCTGCAGGGTTGAAAGTGTTTTATTTTCCTCTGTGGTAATATTTTTTCTATGGTATGTCGTATAGATAATTTGAAGAAACTAAATCTTAAATTTCTTATTAGCCCAGCAGAAGAGTTATATTTTGGATCCAAAGAAACTGGAGAGAAAAAATGTTTGATAGTTCTCACAAATGTCACTAAAAACGTAGTGGCTTTTAAGGTAAGTATTTTATATGTGGCCTCATTTACTTCACTAAGTATGTAACTTGTTTTGAGTAAGGATGACAAAATACTATTAAACTGAATTTTCAGTCTAAAATTTTTATTCTGTTGTGATGTTTGGAGCAGATCAAAGAAATCTGGCTGAATTTGTGCCTATTATGGTAGCACCCTGGAGAGGGTAATCAGTAATACAAATGTTTGGAGCACTGACTGAAAAAGAGCTATGGCAGTGGTTACTTCTTTAGTAACCTAAGACTCTGAGCTTCGAAACGATGCAAATCAATCTGCAGATGTCACCATCAAAAGAATCAGTTTTGTTTGCTTCAGAAATACTGACTTGACTTGCATCTTGATTTGTTTTTCTCTGCACAAAAAAATAACTAAAGTTTCCGTACTTTCATATCTAAAATTTTAACAGATAGTGCATTTAATATTCTTGGCTCTTTTTAAATATGTAGATAAGAGAGGAAAAAAATTATATATGCCAGAAAAGAGAAGATAGAAGTGGTTGAGAGAGAGGAAAAAGTGAAATACCAGTATCTGATTACTCCAACAAGAGAAAGCATTTTAAAGATTTGTCTTAATATTTGTCTTAATATTTAAGCTTTTGGGGATTTTAGTTGTTGCAGAGTGAATGAGGTTATGAAACAGTCATACTTTGTACATGCATTTACTATATACTTGCTTAGTATTTCTTGTTTATAGGTGAGAACAACTGCTCCTGAAAAATACAGAGTTAAACCCAGTAACAGCAGCTGTGAACCTGGCACATCACTGGATATAATAGTCTCTCTTCATGGTGGTAAGTAAAAGCTTATAATAGACATTTTCAGAAGTCCAGGCAGGTTTTAACAGGCTGATGCTCTAGATACTAACATTTGTATGTGCTTGCTGGGGTTTAAGACTGACAGATACCTGTGTCTCCTTGCCTCTTCTATGGGAATGTTCTCTTTGTAAAAAAAGCATTGGTGTCAGACAGTGTTTGAGTAACTGCCTATACCATTCTGTTTCTTGTCTTCAAAAAAAAAGGCACAGTGGCAGGTGTCTCACTTGTGCTCTGTTCCAGTGGGGGTTTATCTGTCGTAAATCAGTTCCCTGAATTGTTGCAAGTTCGGGTGAATTTGCTGGAGAAAGTGTTTTTTACACAATCCTGGGTTGTGCTTGGATCATTCAGATGAAACTAATTCTGTAAAATTAAACTAGAATTTGGGGAAACTAATCAAAATTGTTGAGCTTAACATAATGATTTATTTTTACTTCTGTCCAGTGTCTGATGTTCTGCAGTAAACATTTTGTTGGGTTTTTTGTTTGTTGTTTGTTTGTTCTTTTGTTTTTCCCCAAAATGCTTCTATAAGCTGTGCAATAATGTCATTTTATCTAAGGACACTTTTGCTTTCCTTTTTTTTTTTTTTTTTTTTTGTCTTTGAGGGCAGGTTTTGCAGCTTCTCTTCAGGATCGTTTCCTTATAATGGCAGCAGAAATGGACCAGTCTTCTGGAGCAGGTGTACCAGAACTGGCGCAGTTTTGGAAAGAAGTCCCTAGGACCAAAGTGATGGAACACAGGTGAGCGTACGGTTTTCTGCTGGCTGCAATTTTATTTTAGCCAGCATCATTTGGCTGATTTATAGCATTTGCATATCGTAATCAGTGAAGGATTCTCCAAACCCAGTTGTGTGCTTACAGACTGAAGTATATTGCTGAGGTTTCTGTTCTGTTTTAGCTGATTAAACATAGATTAAAAGTAGTGGAGTATATGATTATTGTCTCTTTAATATTACATGTGCAAGTACTTTATCTGAAGAGTCTACTTAGATTGTATTATGCATATTTCTCCCTTTTTTGTTTTGTCATGCTGGGAAATCTTAGCATTTCTCTTTCCTGAAAATAGAAAAATGCCACAGCCTCAATTTAACAGTTTCTTTAGCAAATAAATTCATTCCCATGCTGATTGACTTGTATGTTATTAGAGGAGCTTCTGCTGTATTTCATAAGTTGTGTAGGATTCCGCTACCTTCAACTGTGGCTTGAAATTTTGTTCCTGCATTTTCAGTTGTGGAAAAGGTGGACTCTATTAAAAAATATTGATGATGAGGTTCAAAATGGAAAGAAAACCTTTAGATTTTGTTTGCTTAGATTTTTTTGGTTTGGATAAATTGGTAGTGAATATTTAACTGACTAGCCCAGTGCATCCTGTGCTATGAATTTAAAATAATACATTGTAACTGAGCATGCAGATAATTTTGATCTTGCTTTCTATATCAAAATGTAGTTGTGGACTGAGGAAGTCCTTTCAGACCATCATTGCAATAGTCATTTAGAAAACTAATCAACCAGAACAGACAGATAAAACATGTAACTGTGAGATAAGACTGTTTACTATTAATTATACAATGTTACATTAAATTTATGTTTGGTGCATTTTTTTTTTCCCCTCTTCACAGGCTCAGGTGTCATGTTGTAGAAAGTAGTAAGCCTTTTTCCCTAACATTAAAAGAGAATGCATTTAGTATTCCAGCAAAAACCAACGAAGATTTACATATACAGGTAACAGTGTATTCCTTTGTCTTGAATATTGAACAAAATTATAAAATATGATAGAGATAAAAGAATTTGTACTAAACCTCTTTGGTACTATGTATATTACACTATTTTAAAAGCTCAGCAACAGAAAGTAACTAAAGCTGTGATAATGATTTAATAATTTTGTGATTGGTTATGTTTTAATAAGACACTACTTTCAATGCAGTTTGCTCATTCCTCTTGTGTATATTACAGATCTGGGGTATCAGTGAACCTCAGTGGTATGTTTTGGTTCCTAGTATAAAGATGTCACCTACTTCATGTAGGCAGTAGGGACTGTCCATAACTTAAAATTTGAAGTTCCTGTAGTGGAATTGGTTCCTGAAATATGTAGTGATAAAAAAGGTATCATTAAGTGATCACTAAGAGAAGTCTTTTTGTGTCCACGTGTGCATGTGTTCCCTCTCTCCTCCCCCTGTTTATAGTTACTAGCTAAATAACTAACAAGTACTTTCATGTGCAGTAATTCTAATTAAGTAAAACTATTTCTGTTTTCAGCTAACTCATTTACTACAAATTAATAAAAGACTTCAAGAGCAGATTGATCGCTGCCTCTGGTTCCAGCAGTTGTCAGTTGTTTTATCATTACTCTCAATTACTGTTGTTGCCTTCTGCTTCTACCTGGTGAATACCCAGAGAAGCTAAAAACTCCTGTGCACTGGATGTGCTTGCCTGTTGTGACTGGTTGGAGTGGAAGAGATTGCAGTGCTGCACTCAGATTCTGGAACTGGCAAAACGAGGGTTGTGAGCCGACAACAACGAATGATGGTACAATTTGCTGAATTAAAAAAAAAAAAAAAGAAAAAAAGAAGAAGAAATGAATGACCAGCAAAGGAGATTACTGAAAGTTGACACTTGGAACATGGCACTAGGAAGATGTTAGAGCTAGGACCTATTTTCGCTATACAACTCAATAAATACTACTGAACTGGAAGGAGAGAACCAAATACAACATAATTTAAGACTGTTTAGGGTTTGTTTTTTTCTCTTAACTACTTTAAATACAATATTTAATTTTTTTCATATTCATTCTTACATTCAGAATTGGTCTCACAGAAGGTGCAGTCAACTTACTGTATTCTAAAGGTTAACCTGGTCAAGAAAATTTACAGAAATGATGTTGTACAGGTAGATTTTTAATATAATCTGTATCCATGCGTATATAAAGGAAGATATTTGCTGTTACTGTTTATTTTGGTAATTCAGGCTTATTTCTTTCACTGGTTAAATTCCTTATTTTTGTGCTTTTTCTGGATGCAGAGTTTTTGTAAATATTTCCTACCAAATAACATACAGTTATACTGATCAGGAATATAACCCTTGTTTGATTCCAAAGATATTAATGAAATCATCATGATAAAACACAGTTCCTGGTTTTTGTTTGTTTGAAAGCAACTCTTAGTCAAATTGTGGAAGGAATGTGAGAGTTGAGTTTTTATGACCTATTATTGGCTCATAAAAAGCTAATAGCATAGTCAGTGTACGAACTTAATCCTGAGATGTGCAATATGCTTAAATTACGGATGAATTTATGAAAAAAGCAAGTCAAGTCAAAAAGCAAGGAAGGTTAAATACTGCTGAAGGCAACGTAAAAGTGTTATATCTGCCATTTCTCAGTAACTGGTCGAAGTGCGTGTATGAAGCTAGTGAGAGCTACTAACAAGGATTCTTTGTACTCATTGCTGTAAATACGTATATTAAAATGATAAACACCTAAAAAGAGACTGATGGTATCTTTCATGCATTTAAAATTTTCAATCTTGATGATGTTTAAATATTTAAAATAATTTCTTTACTAGAATTAATTTTTGCCACAAATTGGCTTTGTAACAGGTAGCAGTTTTGTGTCCTCATTTCAGCAGATGAAGAGATCATTGAGGAAAAATAAAGGTCATGCTCCGCTTCTGTTTTTGCTTATAGTATCTCTCCGGTGCATTGTAGATGTATTATTTCTAGAGCAAAGGGCAGTTTAAAAAAGTGCGTTAATTAACACATGAATTAAGCAGCGATACACTTACTAAGAAAGTTACCATGTAAAAGGCAAGGCTACAGAACTGCTTGGTGCACAGACTTCTTTTCTACAATGTTTTACCACATCTGCATTTTCTTAATTTCTGTTCAGTTTGCTTCTCAGTATTTTGTTTTCTTAATGAGTTGGCAGCTTATATTGTTCACTGCTTATTCTGAAGCTGTTACTTAAGTTGTTTTCATGTGCATGCAATTCACACATGCTTAGCTTCCCACAAAACGGGTTGTTGTCTTGTTGAGAAAGGTAACAGAGTAATTTGTAACCTTACAATAATGGTGACCATGCTATTAGAATGTCGATTCCTTAATTTGAGTGGATTGAACAACACTTTACTGTAAAATTGCAAGAAATATTTTCTTACAGTCTTTGCCAATATGAATATTTTAATGTTTTGGTGCTTTCATATATTTTCAGTATTTTATTACTATTCTGGGATTTTCTTTGTATGATGACTCAGATGAATATCTTTTCTATTTTAATATGTTTTAGAAAAATACAGTTATGAAATAAATATAAGGAAATATGTAGTCTTGAATGTTTAGTCTTTTAAAAATGGCTGCATGTGCCCTGAGGCTTTTGGTTTTCTTGGTAGTCTGCAGATACTTAAGATGAAGGATGGGTTAACCTGGTAATGACCCATAGTAATAGAAATTGTGATGATACTTGTCAGACAGGTGTAAAAGAGATGATCCATGAATTCTTACACAGAGTGCCTAACATAATAACATGGCACATGATGTTGGCAGGTGAGCACCCACTGTGGCACAAATGACGCACAATACAAATATATATAAATGTCTTGATAAATATCTTGGTAAAACGGCTATGTAACATCACACAGTAAATGGAAAAAAATACATTAAAAAAAAAGGAATGGTAAAGTAACTTTAAATAGAAATTGACAGTAGTCTACTTTTTATTTTCCTTCTCTGAGAGTGCAGTTTTTTCTGTCACCTAAAACATATGGTGATCCATCAGTATTTTCCCAGTTTTCACTTGTTGGTAGTTGCAGGTTTTGTTTGCCAGCCTTTAGAAGCACAGATTTCAGCCAATCCATTTTGGAAGGTTTTGTGTCTAACACACTGAAGTTGCAGAGTGCACAGCATTCATGTGATATGATACCCAAAATTAAGAGAATAAACAGGACATTGCTTTCCAGTTTTTATTTTTTCACACTACATGAGACTTGGTTTATAAATCTGGGACGTTTTAGAACTTTGGCAATTCACAAAATAGGATTTGATTACAGTATCAAGATACAAGATTTAAGTTTCCTTTCCCTCGTTGTAGATTGGCAGTTAGTCTTGGCTTTTACAATTAAGCAACAGCAGTGACTATAGTCCTAAATATTAGCAATTTTTGCTCCAAAAGACCACATACACTTTTTCCTAGCAAGCAATTTTTGTGCCTAATTCTTGGGTTGAGTTTTTTTACTTTATTTAAGCAAAAGATTAAAGACTTCCTAGATAGTGCTTTGTTCATAATCTCTTCCTCTACTTCCAGAGTCTTACTATGGGATAGCTCTGAACCACAGGCATTCAAGTGGCATCATTCGCATTGGCTCTCATGTTCATTCTGAAATGATTTTCTGTGGTTTAATGTTACAGTGTGTTTGAATGCTTAATGAGCCCCATCACTGTAAAGTGTTCAAGGCTAGGTTGGATGGGGTTTTGAGCAACCTTGTCTAGTGGAAGGTGTATCCCTGGCCATGGCAGGGGGGTGATAAAAGCAAATTTTACACAGGAAGATTTCATTTTCTAATAGTGGCAGCAGGAGTTTTTGCATAAGGATGCAGTCATATTGGGGGTTTTTTAATTAGATGCAAAGCCTAGGTATTTAAAGGAAAAAATGTGGGATTAGTCTAATTGGAGGAGGGGGAAATCTTCATTATAGCATTTTGATGCATCAAATACGACCAAGAGTAGGGGGGTTTAATTACGTTTCTATTTCATCATCAATTCCCTGCTGTAACTGATTTGTCTCTAATGCTTGCATTTAAGTTACCTCAAACATTTGTCCCTGCTTCAGGATGTTGGTTTATATGGCTTTTGTTGACTCCATGGGTTTGGAGACAGCATTTTAAGTCACTGACTGTGCTGCCTTGGGGATCTTCTCACTTAGATGTAATTGGTCTGGCAGCATAAGGGTATATAGTGCTGTTCTGTTAAGAAAGGGCAGTGTTAATTCTTTCTATGGCTTTGTTGTGAAAATGGACATTCAGTCAGAATAATAGAACAAATTTGAAAATTGACCAAACAGCACTGTCCTGTAAAACGCATCACAGGTGGCTCTAAGAGTTCATTGGTTTAGACCTTGTAGTAGTTCTGTAGGGTGTCGTGTTCAAGACACGATGTGCCTATTTGCAATATATGTATTAGTTTAGGAACAGCTAATCACTTCTAATTAGCCAGGAAGAGCAGGTTGAGTACTCAGATATGAGGTCAAAGACACCATCTTAAGTCAGTTTCTGAAGTGCATGGCTTACTGTTCCCTGGAAGGTGGCTCACTGAGGAATTACTGGTTCAGTATTACAGCAGTTGCTACACGTGTATACGTTAACACAGGTAAATGCTGATAGAATCATAGAATAGTTAGGGTTGGAAAGGACCTTAAGATCATCAAGTTCCAACCCCCCTGCCATGGGCAGGGACACCTCACACCTAGACCATGTCTCCCAAGGCTCTGTCCAAACTGGCCTTGAACACCGCCAGGGATGGAGCATTCACAACTTCCTTGGGCAAGCCATTCCAGTGCCTCACCACCCTCGCAGTAAAGAACTTCCTCCTTGTATGTAACCTGAACTTCTCCTGTTTAAGTTTTAACCCATTACTCCTTTTCCTATCACTACAGTCCCTAATGGAGAGTCCCTCCCCAGCATCCCTATAGGCCCCCTTCAGATACTGGAAGGCTGCTATGAGGTCTCCACGCAGCCTTCTCTTCTCCAGGCTGAACAGCTCCAACTTTCTCAGCCTGTCTTCATATGAGGGTTGCTCCAGTCCCCTGATCATCCTCGTGGCCCTCCTCTGGACTTGTTCCAACAGTTCCATCTCCTTCTTATGATAATGATTCAAATTAGCTGCTTTTCAGTATGCCCATTGGGCACACTTTAGCATCAGCAGCTTCTAGATCTGTGTTTCCTGTAGCTGGTGAGAAGTATAACCTTCTTTTCTGTTTTCTTGATCATTTCAGTCCCACTTTTCAATTCAAACCTCACTGTTGTTGCTTTTAATAGTCTTATGGTGAATGTTTGCAGTACTAAACATTCTACACTCCTGTGTGTACAGTAGTGCACATAGACGCAACTTGAAAAGTAGAAAAAAGTACAGAAAGCCCACCTCTCCAGAAGGGTGGCAGTGGTGAGAAGTCTTCCTTCTTTGCAGAGGAAGTGTGTGAAGTTCCACATAGAAATACTGAAGTTCCTGAGCTCTATGAGCAAAGAGCAGCCTGCCAGATTTTTTCCACCAGGCATCTCAACTCCTGGTTTACTTCATTTGCAAGACTGGTGCATCAGCCTACCTATTTGGCATGCTCCAAGTCACTTCTGTTTTCCTGAGCAGTGAAAGAAGTACTGGGCTAACAGCTGAAGAGTGCTTGATTTTTGAGGTATGATTGCAGCTGAGAGCGCTTGCTTTTTAGATTGCAGTAGGCAATTTGTTCTGACAGTATTGCTGAAGTTAATAGTGAAGTCCAAAAACAAAGCCCTTTAGGGGAAAAATAAAGGCCCAACTACATATCAGTTGCCTGTCATTGTAGTCTTCACCATGATCCAAAGTGTAGCAGTAGCCCAACCAAAGAACTGCTACATTCTCCCTAACGCCAGTTCAGGGTCTCTTGATTTGTTAGCAATAATCTCTCTGACCTATTGTAATTCTCTTAATAGCAGTTGTGCTATATTAGCACTGTACTGGAATTGGTTGAGATGTCAGTAAACCTGAACATGAAAAAAATAACTTCTGTTTATTTATCTTTTATTTTCATCGATCAGCAGTAGAATGTATTCATTACTTTACTGTCACTTGGTAGTTTTCCCAAAAATATTTTTGGAGGGTTTGCATCCTGTTAAAAATATCTTGTTGGAAGGATGTTGAATTATGTGTTCATTCATCTTGATTAGCCCATGAGATATGCCAACACTTGATGGTGATTCAGCTGGCAAGAAGCAGTGATTTCCTTGAAAGTACTCAAGGTTTTTTATTTTTTTTCCATTTTTCAAAAACATGAAGTCGCTGTCATTTTTTTCCTATACTTCTGAGTAGACCTTGTTCCTGCAGTAGATAAATCTTCACAAACTTACTTACCTGAGGAGCAAAAGACTTGGCCTATTGTAACTTACCACAAGGAGCAAATAGTTGAATATATACCTTCTGTTACAGACCCAACTACAAATAACAGGTTGCAGGTACTCATGTTATTCCAGTATGCATGTGTATACTGTGAAGTAGCCACACAACAAACTGGCATTGCTACCTTATGAGAAAGTAAGTGATAAAGATTCATCCCATATACCAGTTGTGTCCAGGAAGTCAGGAGGGTAAGGAGGAGCAGTGCTACATAATGAAGCGCTCTTCCCACCACAGGCTAAGCAGTCTCTAGCAAAAGTGTTCCCCTAATTCTGGGCCCAGGAGTGGAAACAAAAGGAATATTGATAGGTTTTGATTCAGATCCATTCCTTAGATTAGCAAAGAAATGATTCAAGAGAACTCAAATTCAAGTCTCCAGTGTCAGTCCCACCATGGTCAACATCCCATTTTGTGTTTATGATGAAATCTGAATTAAGATATCCTCTGAGTAATATGAGGTAGTCTTACAAAGTCTATGTGGTGTTTAATTATTCAAAGTTACAACTTTCTTATATTTCCCTAGCCCTGTATCTGTTAAAATCACTGCCAGCTCCATCTTTGACAGCTTTTAGCTGTATCTGAACACCTGTTCTTCAGGCCCCAGGGAAAATGTCAGAAAGGAGCAACACCATTTAAATAAATATAGATTACAGCAGTAGCGTGAAAAGGAAGTATAAACAGCATTTGTTAAGTTTTTATTTTCTAGAATGCTACACTGGATAAATTCCTGAAAGGAAAAGCAAATATGGGCAAACACCACAGATGCTTCATTAATCTGGTACACTTAACACTTACAGATTGATGCTTAACCTACTGGCACCTTCATTTCTATAAACCCCATGCCCTGAGTGAATTTTCTTGTACAAGATTAGCATTTATCATATTTTCCTTTCTGTCTCGTTTTGTTGTTGTTGTTGTTGTTGTTGTTTTTTAATTTAAACTTGCAGTTGATGGTGATGACTCACAAAAAGATTTTGTAGTGCTTTCTTGAAAGAAAGTAGCATTTTCTTTTGGAGTTCAGTTTAGTGGGCTTTGTTCTCCAAAGTGGATATGAAAACATAGCTTCTTAGTTCAGTCTGGAATTAGGTGGGAAACCTCAGAAAAAACAATGCTTTTTCACTACAAGAGTGGTGAGACGTTGGAACAGAGAAGCTGTGGCTGCCCCATCCCTGGCAGTGTTCAAGGCC